CCCCCCCCCCCCGCCGGAGCCACTTGCATTCCTTGGCTGGAGTTGACAGGCGCTGCTGAGCAGCTCGAATCCGGTTCCCACACTGGCAGAGACCTAAAACTAACATCCCCAAATGAGGTAACAGCACTTGAATCAACAAACTGGCCCCGCCAGCTGGATGGGGCGAGGGGACCGCGACCCTGCTCGATGAGGGGGTCCCTCCGCCTGCTCAAGGGACCGTCCTGCTGCCCCCAGACCGGTGGGTGTAACAGCAAATTCTCTCGAGCACCTGGTTGCAGGTCCAGGTGGTCCCAACAGCTTTTGCATCCCCCGGCTGGAGCAGGCTCTGGTCCTCCTCAGCATCCTCCGACTTGCCTTGCTAGGCGCATCTGCGTCCCGGCTGGGGACACGATGGAGGAGCCACGCTGGCCCCCTGGGAGGTGGCCACAGGGTTGTGTGGCTTAACCAGAGCTTGGGGGACACCAGCCACCTCTGACATGGTCACGTCTTGCTTCTCCTAAGGCATTTTGGGTTTGGGATGAGGAACAGAGCAGCCATCCATCCATCCATCCATCAATCCATCCATCCATCAATCCATCCCAAGGCTGGAGCATCCCCAGCAGCCAGTGAAAACCCAGCTGAAGATACATTTGTGAGCCGGACCTTGGGAAAGTCATCCTATGTAACGCAAGGCATCGAGCTAATGAGCCTCGTTAAGAAACTCATTAAGATCCTGCTGTGATCAAAGGAAGGAGAAGGGGCAAAAAGGAGGGTGGGGGAACATGGACCAAACTTCAGCGCCGGTTAAAAGCATCACCTGAAGAGGAAGGATGGTGGGAACCAACCAGCCATAAAGTACCTTTGGTCCACAAAGTGGTACCAACCATGTATTTGGCTCTTTTTTTTTTTTTTAAGATTTACAGATTGAAGGGTTTTTTTTATTTTTAAATTCACTGCAGCTGGAGAAACTGAGGTGCAGCAGGGTGCGATGCCCGCAATTCCCGGGTTCGGTCCCACCCATTTTGCTCGGGTCTTTGCATCGCCAGTGCTGCCCCATGAGCCCATCTCTGCGTGGCGGGAGGTGGTCTGCATTGCCCTCTCCCCTGTCATGTGTGATCTGGACACGTCCCCCACCGCCGGGCCCCCCGCGTTGCCCTCGATGCTTCCCCGGCTTCTCTCTGGAGCTGAGCTTTTAGTACAACGCCGCCCCAACTCTGGCTCGTTCTCGCAGACCAGGATTGGAGCCGTTTCTGGAACACTTCTCCTTATAGCGTGCACTTTCCTGTTTTCCCACGGGTTGCGAAATGCAAAGGATTTTTTCACTTTGCTGTCAAGATTTGGCTAGAGACTTGTTTACCAGGCCTGCAAAGCAGGGAAACCAGATAGTGCCATTTCTCTGTTACCTGCTCAGCTTGGGAGGCATGAAATTTGTTGTAATTTTCAGGAATAAGCCAAGTGGAAAGTTAGCGGCAAGTGGGTGGGAGGTGTTTTGGCAGCCGAAGAGAGCGATGCTATGGGAGGATGCACCCTTGCAGTCTTTCTGCGCCTGTTTCGAGGCATAATTGGCATTTTGTACTAACAATGCTTCGGCTCGTTATTACGCCCAGAGGAATCTAAGGGAAACAGGGCGGCAGACTCGCTGGCTCGCCAGCTCCAGCGCGCCATCGCCCAGCGGAGCGGGCAGAGAGGAGCGATGGACGGTGCCAAGCCGTGATGTCCGCCCAACCCTTCGCTCGCCGGCGCGTCACTGCGCATCAGCACTTCCCAGCCTTACCACCCCCGTTTCCAAAAAGCCCCCCAGCACAGCTCCACTGAAGCCAGGGGGAGGACAGTGGCTCCGCACAGAACACGACTGCGCCCAGGAGGAGGAGGGAAGCATTAAACACCAACACGGTCATAAGTCACCCGGGTGCTTTAGGCTCCGAAATTAGATTTTGTCAATCTGGTGAAATGTTTTTATATATTCAATGTAAAATTTGACGGGAAGCTTTCCCAGCATGGACACGGCTGCAGGTTCAGACATTACACGAAGCAGGGGATGCTCTCAGGAGAGGCTGTCCCGCTGTGGCATCTGTGGCGACCTTCCCAATAAGGTCCCTCCCTGGAGTCATCCTCAACGTTAAGGGCAGCACGGCTAAGAACATCATCATTTCTGCAGGTGTCTGGGCAAGGAGCATTTACACCCAGCAGCAGCCAAAGCAGGAAGGTGATGACCATGAGATGGCAGCAGCCAGGCGCTTCCCCTCCTCCAGGAGCACGGTGGGTGCTATCGGGAGGTCCAAGCCCTCTCCAGGGCTGCCAGGCAAGGTGTCCTGGTTTCGGCAGGGATAGAGTTAATTTCCTTCCTGGTGGCTGGTACAGTGCTGTGTTTTGGATTTAGGGTGAGAACAATGTTGATAACACACCCATGTTTTAGTTGTTGCCGAGCAGTGCTTGCACTAGTCAAGGACTTCTCAGCTCCCCATGCTCTACCGACTGAGAAGGCTGGGGGTGCACAAGGAGCTGGGAGGGGGCACAGCCAGGACAGCTGACCCAAACTGGCCACAGGGACATTCCATACCGTGTGACGTCATGCTCAGTACATAAACTGGGGGAAGAAGAAGGAAGGGGGGGGACGTTCAGAGTTTGTCTTCCCAAGCAACCGTTACGCGTGATGGAGCCCTGCTGTCCTGGGGATGGCTGAACACCTGCCTGCCCATGGGAAGCAGTGAATGAATTCCTTGTTTTGCTTCGCTTGCATGCGTGGCTTTTGCTTTCACTATTAAACTGGTTTTATCTCAACCCACGAGTTTTCTCACTTTTACCCTTCCAATTCTCTCCCCCATCCCACCGGGGTGGGGGGGGAGGAGTGAGCGAGCAGCTGTGTGGGGTTTAGTTCCCGGCTGAGGTTAAACCACAACACAGGGCCCCCACCAAGCCACAGGGAATTTCAGGAACCGCTGTGGTCAGTAGGAGCGATTGTGCTCGTCTCAGCATGCATCTCAAGGGGTTTTATGAACACAGCGTGGCTTCACTTTGCGTCTCACCACCATACGGTGAAGTCAAGAGTCAGTCCATTTTACAAATGGGACAGCAGAGGTTCATGAACCTGAGCAGCTATTTCTGATGCTGTGCAGCATAGGCTGCAAGAAGGTCCCTGAAGTGCCCATTTCCCAACACTTAGGCTGCCTTGGCAGTGCTGAGATCCAGAAACCAGAGCGTTATAATGCCAAAAACCACCCCTGAGCCCTACCCACAGCTCAGATGATAGATACAACCACCCTGTCAAGACCTCACCAGCCATGTGGTGGTGTCTCTTCCTCTCTGTCATAAACTTAAAACTTCAGCCTATTTAAAAGTTATCAATATATTGCATCTTCCCTATTACAGGAAACTCACAGTTTCCACAAGAATAATTTTGAAGGTGGGTATCCCTCAGAAAATCCAGCAGACAGTACCCACCCACCAGAAGAAGGAGGTCTTGGTGTATAGTCTTGGGTTGGGCTTGCCTTTCCCCAACCTTGGCACTACATTTAACTACTCCTTGGTCTTGTAGAGGGTCTGAAACAAATGAAAGAGAGTTTTTTGCTCTCACTTTAGGGTTCTATGAGAGCTGATGTAGCACTGAGGAGCATAGTGAGTCCCAAACTCCAGGCTGCTGTGCTTCTCAGTTGCTCTGCACTCGGATGCCACCCTACCCCAGCTGTGAGGTTGCAAGATCTCGCCAAGTACACAACAACCATGGAGGAACTCCACGTTTCTTGCTTGGGTTTTGGAGTGAACTTCTGGTCCATCTGCAAGGGCAAAAAGCTTTCCTGTTAGCCTTTGCAGAGGGAAAGTTTCACCCCTAAAATTGCCCATTGCTCTTTTTCTGAGACCTGGGAGGGCTCAGCTGGTCCTTCTACTTGAAGAAGACCACACGGGCCTCTTCTCCTCCTGCCATATCCCGCACCGGGTGATACTGCTGAGTGTGGGTTGGCATTTACCATTTTACACCCCGAAAGTCATTGCATCTTACTTCGATGAAATTACTCTCATCTCTGCAGGCTCACATGCTCAGAGTACCACAGGTTAAAAGCGGATCTCCAACAGCAACACAGCTGCTAATCCCACATGGAAGTTCAAAAGGGTGGTACTTACACAGGTTTTAGCTTCTTTCAGATACATGGTGGGCCAATTATTTTGCACCTGGTCTTTACAGATGACCTGGAAAGACAGAAGAAAAGCAACTCTCAAATTGTTGACGTAGGTTGGAAGGACAGTAGGTCACCACTACAACAGACTGCCCCAAGCCAGGAGACATCCCAATCAAAGCCCTGATCCATTTTATGGAAACGAGACAGACCCGGGAGCCCTTCGCTCAACCCTTTATATGTAGAAAGGGTTTTCACAGATAACTGACACGGTTGTCTGCGGGACGTTTGCTAATGCACTTCCCAAACCAGGCTTAGGATTTGCAGTACGGGTAAAGCAGGAATTGGCTCAGGCAGAAGGAAGATCCATGCCAGTGGGCCATGATGTGGTCCTGCTCTACAAAAGGTGAGCATCTCGAAAGAGGATCCCCTTCCCTCCTTCCCAGCACTTTAGTTATCCTGGCTTGTGTTTTGAGATGCCCCTACGCTCCCAAACCATTTTCTGCTAATATCATCCATGATCAGCTGACGCTGAATTGTGGTCTTTGCCCTCTCATCATGTCCACATCTGCCCCAAGGCAGCTTCTGCTCTCCATAATGCTTCCCTCTCTCTTCCCAAGTTTCACTTCTTCCCTGTTCAGCACCCAGACCATAATCCCCTTCACCTCCATCCTCCATGTCTCTTCACCGGAAAGCTACGGGAGAAAGGGGTTTAATCTAGAATTATTTTGCTGCCTTGTGTTTTCCTAAGGCAGCTCTCTCCGACACAGACATGCGCAGCAAGAAGGGCTGCAGGCTTTACAGGTACGTGGGATGCCAGCTAAATATTAACAGACACCACTACGAAACGCCCACCTTCCCGTAGGCCTCATTACCTCATTTTGGAAAGAAGCGTTAGGGTGCTGGTGGCCAGGACTGCTGCTCGCCGTCTGGTCCCCCGGGGCCGGGGCTGATGGCTGTGCAGTGGCAGGGCTCTGGTCAGCACTTGCAGGTTTGGTTGACACAGAGCTGGCGTCATGGCTTCTCTGGTCTGGGTCCCCAAGATACAGGAAAAAACAAGCAGAGAGACACTGATACAGTATAGAGGATACAGCTGGCACAGGTTCGTTCGTGAGCAGCTGAAAATAAGTTTTCAGCTCTAGCCCTGCCTTGAAGCTCACTGTGTCAAAGCTTGGAGAGGCTTTGGGTTTCTTCTTTCCTTTATTTTTTTTTTTTTTTAATTAACTGTGATTGTATTTTCTGCTGCTGAAACCCATCAGACTGTTCTGGAGAGACGAACCCAAAGGCTATGATGGCTGTGCGTTGGTAGCTGGGTCATCACTTAAAAAAGTATTGCTGGGTAGACGGGATGGCCCTCATTTTACTTTATCTGGGGTGCTGTCCGTGGAGGTTTCTACAACAGAGGTAGACTATGTCTGAGCTGGCTAGCCAGGATCTCCCAGTGAATGGAGTTCATCGTGCAATCGCACTGACAACTGCAGCCACCGCCCTTAGGAGGGGATGAAATGCCATAACCTCTGTTGACTGCATCTCCATTCGCTATGGAAGAAGCCCAGGGTGACATGCTTACAGGTAGTGCCTGGTATTATGGGAGACAGCCTGGGGGTGTCCTGCCTGCCTGCTACTCCAGAAGGGCACATGCCCCATGTCTACCACTCCCATGCAGGTGCCTCAGATACCTGAGGTCATCTCAGATGCCTTTGTTAAGGTCTGTAGCACCTTACAGTTTCTTGTGCAATGGGAGTAGTGCAAGGAGCATAACGGCCTCCTGCCTCCCCAAACCCTTTTGAAGAAATGGATCTCCATCCCTGGGTTCCTAATTGATCCTTAAATGGCGACAAAGACAATTAAAATGCCACATCCTGTTCTCAGCCTGTTTGCTTTTGGGACTCCTGCCTCTTCCACAGAAAAGGTGAAGGATATTTCTCTCCCAGACACATTCTGAAGGCTCCAGGAGAGAACTAATTTCAAAGCCATCTGTTTCTCTTGCATTCTCTCACCTATTTATGAAATGTAAAGGTTTTTTAAAACCTCTTCATGCTCAGTGCTTGAGGTCAAATTTGAATCAACATAATTTCGTATATCATCCTTTAATGGGGAACAGTCCTGTGGAGCAGGAGGGGAAAGAAACGTCCTTCATGAAGACACCCATTTCACCTCCTAATGCCTGCTAATGTGCTCAGAACATGACTTGGACGAAGCCAGTGAGGATGGTCTTGCATTAAGACCTCAGCCCATTTAGTGATGCTGACAGCACGGGGGAGCTGGCAGGCTGAGGGGGAAGGAGATGGCTTTTTGAGTGGTTTCTGTACTGCAGGTAGCTGGAAATTGGGTCAAGAACAACCTTCTCCAGAGGAAGATAATGAAGGGCTTCAGTGTCATCACAGCTTTTATTCAGAGCCAGATGTGAGCTGAACCCACAATCCCACCCAAGTCTGGAAGGCTCCATGGAGCCCTCACAGTCCCACAGTGTGATTGCTTGACCGTAAACGCTACCAGACAAAATGCCAAAGGGGACCCTAGACCGTGCCTCACCAGGACACTTACGAACTAACGTGGCTCTATAAAGCTCCAGAGGTCTAGAGAAAACATACTAATGGTGTTCAGCAAGATCCTAAACACCACATGGACACTCATAATGCTGCTTAGACAGAAGTCAGCAGCCAAACTCCCCGCAGAAATGATGAATACCCTACCTAACAGCTTAGACTCTTTAGAGGTTGTAGACTCAGAGTTCAGCCACAAAATCTCCTTAGTCATCTAAAGCTTATTTTCTAGGTATACCCAGACAGCCTTCGCTAAGCTGTCAGCCATACTAGGGATCTTCTACAGTCAGCATTCAGGGTGCTGTCAATCTGTTTCACCAACCCTACAATGTCAGTCTCCACCTCCAAACTCGTTGCTGCTGGCTCCCTTTTGCAGTCACTGAAGATCGGGTCATTGCAGTTGATGGTGCTTCAGGCACAGTTTGGTCCATCTGAAAGCCGATGTCTACGCTTTGCCAGTTGATTCATGCCTTGAATTTCACTAACTGCATTGACTCGATCTCCACCAATGACAACAGGGACCTAAACACCCAGTTGTCATGGAGACAACTATGCTGGAAAGTCCTAAAATGAGACAAGGTGATGACACCCCGTAATGACAGGAAGTGTTTAGGGTAGCCAAAGGAAAAGACCACAAAAGGGCCTCCCAACCCGAGAAATCAAGGTTCTCATCTTCTGGTACCTGTTCCAAGAGTCGGCGTGGTGGCTGCCTCCGAGACCTTGTTGATGCTGCCAGGTGGTAAAGACAGAGATGCTTTTCTAGTGGTGGGGGAGACGGATCCATCAAAAGGGGTAACAGAAGTGTCAATGCTTCCAGGTCTGGTGGAAGAGGCCAGTCCCTGGCCTGGAGAACTGGGAGAAAAGTGAGGCTGCTTGGTGACAGCTGTGGGAGAAGAGATACCATAGTCCTTGAGCCCAGGGGGAAGGCTGCTCGTTAGGACTCCGGTGCTCGCAGCGGTGCTGGTCAACTGGTCCGAAGGCTGGCCTCCCTGAGCTTCCACGCTGGGAGGGGATGTGACAGCAGTCCCTAAACCTTCTGAGGTGGCTGGAGGGCTGCTCGTATGTGTGGGGACAGGACTTGCAGCAGTGGTGGCGGCCAAGCTTCCCAAGGTGGCTGGAGGGGTGGTCTTCTGCTGGGCCACGCTGGAGGTTGCATCAGGGGTGGCTGTTGAGGCTCCGGAGCTGGTTGAAGAGCTGACCTGCTGAGACAGGCGGGGCGATGTCGTGGGGGTGGGTGATGAGTTTCCCGGGCTGCTTGTAGGGGTGGTCCCTTGAACAGTGGAGGGTGATATCACAGTGGAGGTCGGCGGGTTTCCTGGCTTGCTTGTAGGGGTGGTCCCTGGAACTGTGGCAGTTGACGACATGGAGGTGGATGGTGGGTTTCCTGGCTTGCTTGTGGGGGTGGTCCCTTGCATCTTGCTGGTGTCTGTAGTTGTGGTGATCTGCCCGTTTCCTGTTGGGCTTGCAGGAGTTGTCTTTGTAACATTCTGAGAGCCGACACCTAGGGAAAAGTAAAAATGCCAAGATAAACTTTGAACGAAGGGAACTACCCTTGGCTTCCACCCTGAACAGGTATCTGTAGAAATAAATGCTGACCAGAAACCAGGAGTCATTCACTCAGGGCTTGTCTCATGCTCTCTAAACTCATACCAAATGCCACATTCTGGTATCACCGCGTCGAGCAGAAAGCAGAGCAGAGGAGAAGGAGAAGTCAAGCTCACAGGACTTCAAAGGGGTTGGAGGGTGAGCAGAAGGGCAAGACCTGCTGGTTCCCAGAAGGCAGGCCTCCCTCAGATGGGAGGTCCACCAGCTCCTGTGCAGAACACTGCAAGTCATGCCCGAAATAAAGTACGTCCAGCCCTTGTAAGGGAGCAGCCAAGGGATGTGCCGAATGCTGTTTGTGCAACCCCGTTACGAGGGTCTCTCACATCCCTGAAGTGGTGAGGAGCCTCAGATAAATAAGGTGACACTTCTGACTATTCTGAAAGTTATATTCTTTTTGCAGGCTCAAGCTTTGTTTCTTTAATTGCTCACGTTTCAACATAGGTTTTTTTCCCTCCCAAACACAGATAATTGCTATAAAAACATCATAAAATAGGCACTCTCGCTTGAATCCACAGAGTCAAACCATTGAGGGTGGTGAAGCACTGGCACAGGTTGCCCAGAGAGGTGGTGGATGCCCCATCACTGGAAGTGTTCAAGGTTGGGCTGGATGGGGCTCTGAGCAACCTGCTCTAGTTGAAGATGTCCCTGCCCAGGGCAGGGGGGTTGGACTAGATGACCTTTAGAGGTCCCTTCCAACCCAAACCATTCTATGATTCTGTGATTCTATGAAAATTTATACACACTGAAATTCCTAGTTGGGTGAACTGCGGGAACAATATTTATTCTACTTGCTCTGAAAGAATGGGTCAACACTGCGCAGAGTTTGGAAGTAAATACGAAAAACATTTACTTGGAGCTGCATTATTTTAATTTTAGGGATGTTCAGTTCAGCTGCCCATTGCAAATATTATCACCAATCTACGATCACATACTTGTTTAGCTGATTATTTTACTATTCTGAAAAGCCTGAGAAAGTCACATACAAATGTTTAAAGTCAGTGTTCACTTTCAAAGGAAAATCTTAAAAAAAAATCGAAGGAGGCATTTAGGAAAAGGAGAAGCAAGCCAGGAAAGCGAAGGGCTCCACCTACACGTACCACGCAAATCCTTAACGCCACCACCTGAACCATGAAATTCCCATGTGTTTTTCCATGGTCTTTACCCTGCATTTGTACATCACATAGAAAAGCTACTGTTATCATGGCTTATTTGTTTTTGAGGAAATCCATGAAGTATTTCACTGAGAGTTGACATTACCTAAGTGGGAAAAAAGCTCGGTCTCAAAGCAAAGAGGGTTTTCCATTGCTCAGTTATCTCACATTATCATACATAAGGAGGTCTGCAGTTGGTTTCTGAAGAATACTTTAAATTTTCAAATTAGGAAGCTGTTTGTGAGTGAGGGATGCAGCTGAAGGACAGCTTGCCTGACAGAAGACTGCAACATCCCGCAATGGTAAAACATGTTATATTCACTACCGGACTGGATATAAAAATTTGGGTCCGTTTTTCTGTTTGTAATCGCTGCAGGAGTGCCATCAATTGCCACGGAGGCAATTTAGCCCCACTGCACATGGTAACCACCAGCTCTGGGCTCTTGCTCAAATTCACCCCAGGAAAGGTTCGACCAATTTTTCACCTTTCAGGAACTGCGGGCTGCACTGAGCCACTTCATCCGTGGATCTGTCTGGAGTCAAGACAACAACCTGATTTTGGAGGGGTGGATTCTTCCATTTGATGACCGTGCAGAAGAAGGCCATTTTTTTGCCCCAGGAGGCACGTGTATATTATTTCCAACCCTCCAAAACAGGAGTCACGCGTCCAAGGTTTGAACTTTAGCCATATCCTAATGCTGCTCTCCAGAGATCTGCTTTGTTCCTCCGTGCTGGCATACTGGCAAAGTATTTTCTCTTACAGAGCCTGTTTATTAGCACTGGTTGTGCTTCAAAGATCTGATGAAAGCTTGAGCTTCTGAGACTCATACCGCTGGGGAAATCTAACCCCACCACACCAGGACCCCAGGGGGGTGTGGAGGTACGCTTGAGACAGGACCTGGGGAGTCGGATTTGGGATGGGGAGGCTGCAACACCACATCTGCGGGAAAAAAGCTTTTGTGGAGACAAGTCATATTTCCTATAGACTGACCACTGTCTGCAGCAGCAGAAGAGGTAAGGAAGCAAAACACAGGCACGGGCACCTAGCAGATGAAACCCAGGTGCAAAAGATAGGAGGCAGTTTTCATCCAGTTAACCACAAAATGGGTCTATCCCATAAATAGGGCTGTAAAGGTTTGACGGGGTTTTGACAAGAAGGGAGGTGAAAAAAAAAATAATCCCCTAAAGGTAGAAACAAGACAAAAGAGAGGTAAATAAAGAAAGGGTTGGAAGGAAGGCGGAGGAAATCCCCCACTGCTCTCGCTTCCTTTTCGTGCCCCGTCCCTGGCCCAGAGAGGCAGGAAGCAAACACGCACCAAAGAAGAGGTAGAAAAGACAATTCAGTTCAACTCGGTCCAAAAGAGAAAGGGGCAGGCCCACACTTTGGCTCTGGGCCAGCCCCGGTGGCCAGCCGGGACCCCGTGAGCCAAGAAACCAGCATCCCTGCCCCACCACTTTCCCATCCCACCCCGGGGAGCTGCAGCTACGTTTTTTACCGCTTTTAGCAAAAATTGGGGGGAAAAGCCCAAAGCAAGGGCTTGCTCTGCTGATGGAGAAAGCTGGTGTGATCCTCCAGGCTTGCCCTGGCTGGGGTGGTAGTAAGGCCTCTTTCAAGGGACACAGGGTGGTACAGCCCAAAAAAGCGACTGGGAGAAGAACCAAGACTCAAGTTGACGACCACAAAGCTTACTAGTATTTTATCTTTCCATATCTCTCCATCCACTCTTAGTGGTCCTCTCCCACTAAGGTCAAGAGATGTTAAAAGATCAGTTTATTCTTCCTCATTAAGCCAGGACCAGTCATGAATGGAAACATTCCAGGTCAGGTTGGACGGGGCTCTGAGCAACCTGCTCTAGTTGAAGATGTCCCTGCCCGCGGCAGGGGGGTTGGA